ACTACGTTATGGGCCTATTTCTCTTTCATTTGACCTTTCTCTTTGGCAGATACTCTTCTCTCTCTCTTTCCCCTCCCATTCCCTAGTAGCATCACATGGGTACACCCTTGCACTCTTATTCCTACACACAATTATTCTCAGATTCACCCCTTTACATGTTAATCCTATAAAGAACTTTACTTCTCCTCAAAAGGATAACCTGTTTTAATTCTATATGTTTGATAGACCAAACACTAGAAAACGCATGAGCCCTGCAATATGTATATTTTCTTACCCAAACGTCACTTCTTCTCCCCTGTTATCAACTCTCCTTTGAGCTGCATGGTCTGAGGTCATAAACATTTCCCTTGTCATGGAAGGCTACTGTCACACCATCTAACAACACTCACCACTCATACAGGAATCACATGCCCTGCCACACAACACTGTCCGACATACATATACACACGCCCAGCACTATCTGCTTTGACCAGTGCCAGAAACATTCACCAGATACGACCAGAATATATAGATGTGTGTGTATATATATATGTGTGTGTGTGGATAATATGTATTGCATGTGTGTATATAATATAGATGTGTATGCATATAATAATATGACATATCTGTTTATCTCCAGGCAACAGCACAAACTCATGTTTCACATAGCTATACCAAGTACACACCTTGCATAACACATATACCACACACAGAACTCTGAAACATCATAGATACACGCATTCCCATCTCACAGGCCTTCACTCAAGGATGTTCTCAGGGCCATCTCATCCTCTCCTTTTTGAAATTTTTCTTAGAAACCAATAAATTACGTCAATATATTCTACACGTACCATCCCGCCAGAGGCCTCTGCATCAAGATTTGATGGGGTGTCAGAAGGACTCCTTCGTTTCAAGTTCCCATGGACCTTCCAAGTTTGCCAATAACCACTTGATAACCTCAGGATGTACTGAAAGGGAAAGCGTCATGAACGTGTACTACATGCGTGTCCTAACCAAAAGGGGGGTCGCTATCTTCGGGGACACCGATGGAGAACTGGAGCCTCCCCCGAAAAGGATAAGCATAGCAAAACTTACCTTTCCTGAGGGGATTCCTCCAAGGGGTTCCACCCTCATAGACGATACAGATACACAGCACCTAACTAACAGCGAGGCTCACTGGGACAGTGAGGTCCAAGAGGGATGGGAAGAGGCTGAGAATGCATCAGTGCCTCTGGCTCAGGAGCCAGGGCCCAGCGTCAAAAGACCTCCATGGCTGGAGGGCCTGGAGCGGGGCTTCCGGTGCATGGCCTGCTGCAGGGTCTTCCCCA